CAGCTTGCAGCACAGCTCACAGGACTTGATGCGATCGTCCTGGGGACCCGGAATACACTGACACGATTCCAGACCGTAGGCCAAGCAAATGCTGCCCGTGCAATCGCCCATATAGCATACGAACTCCTTGTTACAAATGGTCTTGTTGGGTTTGTTCACCGACGGCGGACACTGGGGCATTCGGCCGTCGCAGAACGAAGGATCCCGACAGCCATTATCATCCCGGCACTTGTCACCAAACTTCAGCTTGCAATCGTTGGTGCAGCAGGGTCCTTGGGAAGGACTACAGCGGGCATGGGGAGTCAGGGTGCAAGGAGTCTCGTCGAGACGCGGCTGCCTTGACATCGGGAAACAGCACGAATCCTTGCAGTCCTCCTCCCATCCACAGTCGCACTGCTCGCCCGCCTCCACCACGCCGTTGCCGCAAATCGAGGACTGCGGCTCAGTGAAGCATCCCTTCATGGAACGTGCCTTGGCATTCAGCACGGGCTCTATCGATTTCAGCGAGCAGGTACTGAACTTGTTGTTGTTCTTCTTGTCACCCGAAGTGGCGCGGGCAAACATGATGAAGTTGCCATCCTCGCCACCAGGAGTACACTGCTCGGGATCGTGCTGAAATGGAGATATTATCTTAATTAGTGTGTAGTCTTAAATATTTTATAATCCTCACCGGTGATCCGAAGTTGTGGCCAATTTCGTGGGCCAATGTCACATGCGAGACTGCAGGCGGAACATGCTTTCCATAGTTCAAAAGAGTGACTATTCCCGTGTTGAGGGACTTGAGAGAACCCCTGTAATGACCGTTCTTCTCGCAAACTCCTCCAGCGTTTTTCAGATCACCTGTCCAGGCCAGACCCAAAGTTCCCATCTCAAAGTCACGATAGGTGAACATGTAAGCCAAACAAAAGGCATCGTAGTCCTCCTCTGTAAAATAAAATGTTAGAGGATCGATCATGATATAGGTAATATTTAATACATTCAGAAATACTGATTCATATACTTAAGATCAAACATTAAACTAAATAAAAACATTTTTACGGGTAGGTGACCCCAAGAATCATATCAAACAGTTGTGTGTTCCTTGTTCTAATTGATTTATATCACTTTTTCACAAACTCGATTATATATATTTATCACCTTGAAAGATTTAAACTTCGTACATGAACAAAGTAAACAGATAATGTTAATTGAATAACAATTAATCAAAGGAGAAATTCTCTGCCGCAGTGAAAAAATTATCAAAGTAAGAACTCAGAACTGGATCAGAAACCATTCAAGCCAACTCATATATGGTTATTAAAATCTCTTACCCGAAAAGAGTTCCAGAAACTTTTCCACTCCGTAGTTGCCGGGGAATCGGTAGCTGGGATCCTTCATCGCGTTCATGTTGTGCACCTTGATGCGCTTGATCATGAAGGTGATGTTATCCGGCTTGCCGTCGTTGTTGAAGTCCGTGTTCCGGTAGATCGTATTGGCTCGCTGCACGTGCCGCGTGATGGCCTCAATGGAGGCCTCGTCCGAACCCATTTTCTGGAAGAACGTGTGATCCGCCTGCAGATACAGCATGCACGTGGTCTTGCGATCGTAGAGCAGCCTGGGAGAACTATGGATATCGTCGCCGCCCCTTCCGCTCAGCAGATTCGTCATCAACATGCTGTTGAAGCTAGGATTGTGCGGATTGGGGGCGAATATGATCTCTGGATTGTAGTTATTCACAATGATATTTGGCTTTTTGGTGGCCCCATTCTTCGTAATGATCTCCACATGGGTCTTGTGGCTGGGTCGGTCGTTTCCATTGTTGTTGTTTCCCAGAAAGAGCGTCGTCCAGTTGGCATTGAAGAAGTTACTGGGCAGGTCGCGGGTACCATTGTTATTCGTTGGTTCCTCGTAGGGCGTTCCGAATTCCGGTTCGATGGGTCGGTTGTACGTGCTCACAATGATGTTCTTGTGTTTCGTGTACAACTTCCGCACATTATTACTATTATTATTATTATTGTTGTTGTTATTATTATTATTATTATTATTGCTGTTGCTGTTGCTGTTGCTGTAGCTGCGACTTCCCTCGCCGACATTGGAGGGATTGTAGTTATTTACAAGTATGTTGCGATTCGACGTGGGTTTAGTCAGCGTGGCCAGGAAACTCTCCGTACTGCGCACAGTGCTCCTGGTGGTGGATGTGGTTGGGTACTTCCTGCTAGGCGCCTCCTCGCTCTTGTCCTCCTCGGAGGCCAGGACGCGGAAATCATCGTTGTAGGGCACCTCCAGATCCAACGGCAGGGGAGGATTACGATTGTACGTGGGCGCCGGAGCATCCGACATGGCCAGCTGAAATGGTAATCATTCGTTTAGAAAAGTGGAATATAATAAAATGATGGTATAGCCCACCTCCTCTGGCAGCCAGCGCTTCTTCCGCAGCTTTTCGCTGGCGCAGTGCGTCTTGGCGGGTGCGGCGGAGTTAATTCCTCCGCCGCTGAACTGCGTCTTCTGCATATTTACATCACTTAGCTTATAGACTATGCTGTGGACACCGCTCTCGGCCAGCTGCTGGGAGTATCTATGCGCCGGCTCGATGTAGTAGTGCTCCGCCTGGGTCTCTATCGTCCCGTCCAGCAGGTTGTCGCTGGTGAGGATCGCCTGGACATGGGCCGCCTCGTCATCCTCCAGGCTGCCCGTATAAATGCGCGACACATCGTAGTCGATGGGACCCAGGGTGTTCTCGATCTCCACGTCGTGGGCGAACACGGAATGCGGCTGTTGGCGCAGCACCAGGCGAAAATCTCTGCGGGCGAGGAGGAGTATCAGGTGTCGGGTGATTAAGTGATTACCTTTTCTCGATCTCGAGTGCACTCACCTGTCGTGGGCGGAGAAATTCAAGCGGATGGTGTGCGCCAGTCCACTCGCTGAGGTTGTGGCCTCTGTCTGTGTCTCCTCCTCTGGCCTCACCTGTCGTTTCTGCCGGAAGCGAGCCTGCTCCAGGTGCCTGACCTGCGCCGCCTGCAGCACCTCGCGATCGAAGTTCGCAGCCTCCCAATGCTTGATGTAGGGCGTCAGCTTGTGGGTGTAGCCTGAAAGAAGAAGGGGCATCTCTGAGGGGTTAGCAGAGGAAGGAGAAAGCTGCCAGCAGCGATGACAAGATGAAATTTCTCTCAACTGAGTGGTGATATATCATTGTCGATTAGATGGGTTATAGAAAACCCTGAATTGAGCGGAGATATATATGTATATATATCTGTTAAAGTTTTGTAACTTAGAATTTGTATTTGTGTTTCATTTGTGTTTAATAATTTAAAATATTTAGTTAATAAAAATGATGGTCATTGATTTTAAATTTATTTTAATTACATTTTTATAATGAATTGCATCTCTACAGGGATTTTGGGATTTACTTTTTAAGAAAATTGCAGGACTTAAAAAATTTTTATTTGGTTCTTTTGCACATTTGATAATATCTAAACCAATCAATCTAAAAATCCCTGATGAAGTCTTAGTCATGTTATTAATAGGTGATTCAGTGGGTTTTTTGGTAAAATCGTTTTTATGAATATTGTTTGAGTTCCAACTCACCTGGCAGCTTGAGCGGCGTGGGAACGGCCAGGATCTCGCCGGGCAGCCACAGGAGCCAGAGGAACAGGGCCTGCAGACCGAGGAGGCCCAGCAGCCAGCTCATCGTGGTGATTCTCCGGGTGATTCTACGTGGCCTAGACTACTTGATGGTTGTGTTTTCCGAACTCCAACCTCTGCTGCTGCATCACATCATTGGCGCTTGGGTTTGTTGATTGTTATTGCTGTGGGATTCGCTGCGAGGAAGTGGCTCCAATGGGTGACATCTTCGCTGGAAGAATGCGGAGTGTACAATGTGTAGAATTGAGATTGATCGCGAGCAGATTGCGCAAAACAAAGGAACTGCATTGCGTATACGCCGCATATTCGGATCTCCAAGTGGCTTTCACCTTTTACGCGAAATCTTTTGTTCAACTCGAAAATCTGTATTTTTTATTACTTTTTTTTGCGTCTTTTTGCATAAATGGCAAAAGCAACAAACGGCGAAAAGAAGAAGAAGAGCGTCACAGCATCTCATTAGCACTTCACACACGCACACACCTGTGCTACTGCCATTCGTATTGGTGTGCCCGTGAAAAATACTGTTAGTTGGGCGCTCTCTTCACCCCTCTCCCACTTCATGCACTCTCTTTATGGCCAACTTATTGGCCACTGAAATTAAATGCATTCTTTGACAACCGTTTAATTGGATAATTATTGTTTTCGACCAACATGCATGCGTTTGTATTTGTGTGTATTCTAACAGGGATTTGCTTTGGGCCAAAAGAAAAAACCCCTCTCTATCTCTCTTTCTACTCGCTGCTCGCTGTTGTTGTTGCGCTGGTCGAAAACCAAAATAAAATACACGTAAAATTCAATTAGCCACAAATTGTTGCACTCTTTTTTTCTGTTTTGTGATAATTGGATTTGTGGAATATAGCCAAATATATTGGACAGCACACACACACACTCGGAAAACAATCGACCTCCGCTAATGGCGTAAATGGTATAAGCCAAGTTTTTTCTCTCATTTTTTTCGTTGTTGCCACGGCCTAAAACCTGTTCTTCTGCCCAATCATCCAGGCCTAAATCGGGCTAATTTCACAATTTCCCGTGCCATTTTTGACCTTCTCATTAGTCGATCTTAACTTTGATTTATTTACTCGCTCGCCCGCTTACTTTTCACAGTCACTGAAGCACTTGCATTACAAGTCGTTTTTTCTGCGCTTTTAACAACTTTTTTCGACCAAACCATCCACCAAGCAGTGTGACCGCACCGCGAATCGACCGTTAAAATGTCGAGCTCAGAAATATATACTATGCTTTAGAAAAATACCGTAAAAAGCTGAAGCTGTAGCCGGGACTCACACCACTGCACAGTGGGCTTAAAGAAAACTAATTCAATATAGTTAAAGGGATAATATTTTGATAAAGAAAATTCCAAAGACTAACAAATGGGCCACGCTTCAAAGACTTATTTATAAAGACCTTTAGTTTAAATATTAAAAGTCAAATGGTTACAATGACAAACAAAAATCAATGATCTTATGTTAACTTTTAAGAGCTTCCTTGGCTAGGGCCTGTTGCTTTTGGATGCCCTCCCTCAATTTGTCGGCATTCTTTTCCAACTTAGCATAGCATTCTTTTAGTTTATTTCTTTGGTCTTCCAGGTGTCCCTCGGTGGCCGAGAGTTTCTTGACCTTCTGATCGTATTCGTCGAATATCTGCCACCAAGCTGGAAGAGTTAGATTCTCTGGTTCTGTGAGAAGGACGTGCTCCAAATCAAAAGTAGAGCCACTTATGGGCGGCTGATTGACCTCAAAGGTTTCCAAGTCCTCCAGCATCTCTTCCACACTTGGGGCCGCTGGTGGGGGCTCAACTTTGGGCTTGGATCTTTAAACATTTTGTTTATCCTACAAACTGACATTTAGAAAATAGATAACGTCAGCACTTGCTATATAGTGGATTTAATACATCCTTACCTGATTTTTATGACTTTTATAGTGTTGGAGGTTTAATGGTGGTTTAGTGCACGGTTATGTTTTCTAAAGTGTTCATATATTGACTATGAATTTACAAACTTTCTGCAATTGTTTACAAATAAAACAATTATAAATATCAAAGGGACCAACGATACTACTCTCCAAAATACCATAACCTAGAGATGGTCAAATAGTATCGATATGTCTTATGTTATTTTTCCCAGGTGGTTTTGCTTTTCCTTTGATTTCCCAGACACTCCCGGAAATTCCCGAAATTGAATTGAAAAATAAGAACTAATATCGATTTTTTGAATTTGATTTTAAAGTAAATAAGTCATATCTTTTTAGTGAAATAATGTGATAAAATTTATAATTAAATGTAAGCATCATCCTAATCACCCAACTTAAACAAAACTAGATTGTAAAGGAAAAAATGATTGCCGAATTAGATTAATAAAAGCAATTGGTCCAAGTTTTCGAAATCAAACCCCTTCCCGCCAAATTTGAATTTGAATCGCGGGTAATCGCAGTGCGACCAGGCGTTGTTCTGCCGAAAATACCACCATGTACGGCTAACTTTCTCGGTATTATGGGCGGAAAGCGAAACCTAAAAATATATAGCAACACAACAACAAATATAGTCAAAATTCGAAAGAGGAATAGAATACAAGTTATATATAGCACCGATTTGATCTGAATAAACGATGGAGAAGTTAAGCAAGGCGAAGAAGGTGGCGCGCGAGGAGAAGCAGCGTGACCAGAAGTTGGAGGAGTTGGTAATATCATGTGGGGTTCTGAAGGACCCAGCCCAATAGCAGGGTTTTTTCGAACGGAGCCCTTGGAAACGAGGATAAATAGAGGAGAATGAGTTATAACCCCATTATTGCGTCTATTTTAGGTCATGAAATCCCTGGAGGAGTGCCCCTCCACCGAGGAGAAGGTGAAGCTGTTGCTGCAGCGCCATGTGGACAGCGAGAAGAATGTTAGCCGGCTGACGTCGGAGCTTCGCGTCCTGCAGCGCCACATGGAATCCCAGCAGCGGGAGAAGGAGCAGGTGCAGCGGGATCTCAACAAGAGTGTCCTCATGCGGGACAAACTCCAGGAGGTTTGCCGCGAGCAGCAGCGCATCATCAAGTCGGTGAAGAACGAGAGCCTCCTCCAAATCAAAGTCGAGGAGGAGCGGCGCAAGGAGAGCCAAACCAAGTTCCAGAACTCCCTCAACGACGTCCAGAAATCCCTGGCCAAGAACAACGAGGAGAACATCAAGCTGCGCGATTACAACATCGAGATGACCAAGAAGTAAGCATCGTCTACCTCGTAGAGAGGGAATCCAATTTCTAAATATAGATTCTACTGCATGCACGCACGTTCTCTGTGTTCTCCGCTTTTTCCGATTTTCCCTAACCATCTGGTCTCCCGTTTTAGGTTAAAACTGCTGGCCGAGCAGTACCAAACGCGGGAGCAGCACCTGGAGAAGCTCAATGAGCAAGTGCAGCTGGAGGCCCAGTTGCACCAGGCCAAGCTGCAGAAATGCCAAGTGGAGGCCGCCATGGAGAAGGAGATACTCGGCAAGTAAGTGGGGTCGGAACAGAAGGCCGGGCCATCCGGGGCTTCTCTGAAAGTGGAGATAGACGCACCTTAGTTGGGCACACATCAGAGAACGAGTTTTCATTCAAGAAACTCGCTGAGATTACTGGTTTCGATTGGGGCCAGCAACTTATCTTTACGAGTTACTAAAGCTTAATTCAATTTCAATCCTTTAAGCCTACAGTTTTTTTAAAATTAGTTTTGAAGGTCAATTTAAAATGTTTTTTTGTATCGGAGATCAATCGATTTTAAATTTGTTGTTAGTTTTTCTCTTCATCTTATAAATTCTTCTTGTATGTTTAAAGGGTTTTTGAATCGATTTTCAATATATTTCTTACTAAAACACAGCGGTCTATCTACTCAACCTCTTGATAAACTTCTAATTTTTTTACCTTCTTCCAGGGAAAACCAAATTGGCCTGGAGAAACTGCTGCAGGCGCAGCGCGCCATAAAGGATCTCACCGATAGGGAACACCAACTGAAGGAGCAGCTGAATATCTACACGGCCAAGTACGATGACTTCCAGCAGTCGTTGCAAAAGTCCAACGAGGTGTTTGGCAGCTACAAGGTGGAGCTGGAGAAGATGTCCAAGCACACGAAGAAGATCGAAAAGGAGGCGCTGGGCTGGCGCCAGAAGTACGAGAAGGCCAACGCCATGGTGATTGACCTGGCCACCGAGAAGAACCTGCAGACGCAGCACTCGGAGCGCCTGCAAAAGCAGATACAGCAGCTGCAGAAGCTGCTGCGTGCCCTCCAGCTGGAGCGCACCACGTTGCACAAGTGCCTGCGGGACAACGAGATTGAAATTCCCGCCTTGCCGCAGTTGCCGCCCGAACCGGAGCCAGTGAATGTTAAGCCCGTGAGTGCGGACAACGTTAAAATGGAGATGATGACTCGCAATTGTGCGGAACTGAAGCAAACGCTGGCCAATCTGCAGAACCAAATGAAGCTGCTAACGGCCAGTGAATCAAAGACGGCCATCGAGGAGAAGAACAAGGCCGCCGAGGAGCAGAGGCAGGCGAACAATGCCAAGAAGAATATACGCAAGAAGGAGAAGAAGTCCAAGGCGAAGGCAGCCGCAGCAGCGGCGGCAGCTGCAGCCGCATCCACATCGAATGAGGAGCTCAACGGCGTTCAGGAGTTGGCCGACACGGAGTCCAATGCCGAGCTGCAGGCAGCGGGGGATGCCTCGTCGAATGGTGCCCAGGACGCCCAGGAGCAGGCCGTCCAGACTACTGCTGCTATCGTCACAGACTCCCAGGAGATCGTGGGCGATGGCGAGGCCTCCAAGCCACCCGTCGATCTGTCCGAAGTGCCTGCCCTCATCGATGCCAATGCAGACTAGATTGTCGACTGACCTCCTGTTCTCCCTTCCAAAACCAAGGACGGCCCTGCAGCCCTCCCTTCAAAGCATTTCGTGTCATCATGTCTCAACTGAAAAACGTCATCAATTACAAATTTTGTACTAGTTATTTATTGTACTTTGTATATTGTATTTATTTAAAGGAGTCAACGGTGATCGTGTATTGCTGTTCAACAACAAATTGAGTAAAACGTGTTTCCTGCAAACAAACTATGTTGAGTATTTAATTTGCTGCTTAATATAAAGTCTTAAATGTTTGGGATTTATTAAGAAGTTTGTTTATAGCTTAAAGAAAAAAGGGATCAAATTATATGTAGCTTTCTCATAAAATAACACCCACACTGCTTGTTAAAGATGCTAAAAATACAAATCTGAAACCACATTTCGCATCAATTTCCAAAAGGAGTAGAAAGGGGACAAGCCAACGGAGCGCACAAGCTCGATGGCCATGGATTGCTTTCGTCATTGTTGGCGGCGCCACAGAGTCTAGTGTTGCATGCAACACTTGCAATGCCAACAGGCGGGCGGTTTCAGTGCTGATGGGTGGTGATGGGTGGCGAGTGCCTGTGGTTCGTGGCCAGGGTCATTATAATTGCGCCTTAATTATTTTCCACACGCAGCTGTCATTTTTGCCGGGCCCCAGATTTCCGACATAAAATATTCAAGACGCATGCAACGTGGCGTATGCGTAACACCAACAGTTGGCAGCGGTCACTCAGGGCGGATGAGAGGGTGTTGAAGCAAAGCCAGTTAAGCCACTAAAATAATTACACAAATTAATTTAAATTGCATAAAGCGACGCATATGAAAGTAGGGGTAATTATGAGGGGTTCTCAAGGACTCAACGCTTTTTCCCCCCCCTCCAAAGGTTGTTAAATTCTTATTGTCACGGAGAAAGTAATTATAAAATTTAATTAAAAATGTAAAAAGTGGTTGAAAGTAATAGCAATACTATTAAAAGCTAAAAAGGTTCCGCCCGACTGCCCCATTGGGCGGTATTAAAAGTGTCTTCGCCATAGTTGCAAAATGTCGTACTTGTGATATTTCGCACCCTCGCTTTTGCAAAAATGTGTGCACATTTCGCAGGCAATGAGCTTTTGAACATTTAATGAGTTAATACGCTAAATTTGAAAGCCGCGCAAGCGTGTGCCAAGTGCTCCAAACACTTGTCCCCCTCCTCGAGTTGCCCATTTTCCAGCTTGAAAAATGAGAATGGGAAAATCAAGCGGCTAAATCACACACTGAGAAATATTTCAGAAATATACAGGGTTTATTTCCAAAAACCTACGTTTAAATTTGAAAAATAATATCTATTTTATATATAATAAAACAAATAATACGTATAATTTATTTAAAGGTAAAAAAGAATAAAATATTTTTCAGTATTCTGAATCAGAATTCTTTAATGGACTCTTTTAATATAGACAAAGTATAAGTTATTTTTTCAAATTAAGTACCTTACATTTTTCTCAGTGCACTTTCACACGCACATGCAAAGCACTAAGCACTTGTCATTTGGCTGTAAAACCCTCCACGTCCGTTCGTCGGCGAAAAAACAGTGCAAATGTCCAACACACGAGCATATGTACATACATACGGACATATATGGGGAAAAGGCGGCAGCATCGCCTCGGAGGCGTTACTTTCTGGGGGGATTGGGTGGCTGTCGTGGCGTCGTGTTCATCCTAAACTCATGGGTGTCATTTCTCAGGACCCTCTCGGTCTGCAGGATAACAGCGGCGTAACAGAAGAGCCTCGCTTGGGACCAGGACCTCCAGAAAGTAGAAAGTAGAAGGCAGAGCAGCCAGGCTGCCAGACTGCCTGACTCTCGTGTCCAAGTTAAAGGACACAGTCGGCGACGATGGTGTGGCAATATTTTTGGCAGCCAATTGTGCGGGCTGAGCAAGATGAATGAGGAATATGAGCCTTGGGTGCACAGTGGTTCAGATTGGAGTTGAGTCTAAGAAGTTTCCAACGTATTTTCTAGGACTTTTAAAGGTGTCTAAAGGTATGCAATATTATTATTGCTTAAATAAGGAAGTCAAACGAATAAAAAGATTTCTTTTTCAGTGCATAGATCTCTTGCTTTTATTTTTAAAAGTTACTTATAGGAACACTCAAATTTTTAAAAGTTTTGAAAAGACCTTAAATAAACAAGAAGAAAAATCGGTGTAAACATGTTATTAACTTGTTTTTAGCCAATAAAAATAAAAAAATAACCAAACAAACAATAACAAATTTTAGTTGATCTTAAAATAATGAAACAATGTTAATTTGACAAAACTCGAATTTTGTTCATAGTGATTCTTTGCATTACTCATATACAATTTTTTAAAAATATTTTAATTCTTTTTGAACATTTTTTAAATTTGATTGACCTAATGACTATATTAAAAATGCCCATTTTAAATTGCTTTATAGATAGTAGGGTCGAATTTATATTTTACCCCAAAATGTGTGCCACCTTTTAAATATTACGCATACGCCGCGTGGTCATAATAATATTTTAGAGCCCAATTCCTAAGTTTTTAATATTATTGATAGGCCTTTGCCACCATCATGCGATTGAGTCCACTGTAACCACCGAGGGCTATGCTATATGCTATATATCCCACCCGCACCCGAACACCCAAGTGTGCGCACCCACTCTCCGGCGAACTCTCTCTCCGCCTCTCTCCTTCTCTCTCCGAGTCCGTCCGTCTCCGGCGGAGTGGCTCCGGATATTTCGGCAACGGCAACAGAAGCCTGGCTGTGCGAATAGCCGGAGATTTTCCCGAGCGAGCGAAGGGAAAACTGAACGGACGGAAAACCGAAAGCCGAAGCGACGCTGCCTGCTGGCAAACATTTTCCATTTTCGCAGTCCTGTAATCAGTTGTGTATAGGACACTCGCGTGCGCGCGTCGAACGGTTTCTGGCCTTATATGCGGACTCGAATGCGGATGAGCAGTGTGTGTGGAAAAGTGTGTGAAAAGTCTGACGGCGAAACGGTAAACGGGGAAAACGCTGCGCGGTTTTTCCAGCTCTCGGGGTTTTTTTTTATAACTAGAATTCAAATGGTAACCATTGTTGCTGCTGTCTAAAAAATAATTGAACATTTTTTATAAACAATAAGCAATCATAAATATTTTTGAAAAGTAACTAGAGCTAGGGGGAATTTTCCAGCTAAAGCTTGGGCTACAGCTGCTGCCTCTGCCAGCGTCGCTGCCGCTGTCGCTGTCGCTGTTTGAGATAAAGGATATGCCCGGATCTAAAAGATACAGTTTTTCTTCTTGTTCCTTTTCTCCGCCGCTGCTGCTGCTGCTGCTGCCTGGCATTTTCCCCACAGCAACAACAAATGTTGAGAAAGGACCCTAAGTAAATTTGCCATATACTTGCTTGATGGCTAAAATGTAATATCGAAGAAAGTAAAAATTAAGTGAGCGGGAAAGTATGAGAAATAACTGAATAAGCCGAAATCATTAACAAATTAAATCGAGACACGCAAACAGGGGGCAAGAAAGTAAAGCTACCCACCTACCCATATACAAATATCGAAAGGAGTCAAGTGTTCTTTGGAGGAGCTGTTTGCTGGCATGCTTTGAGGTTAATACCACCCACCCATCAGCCATCAACCATCGGCCATCTCCTCCCCCTGCGCCTCCCACTCATCTCCGTTTTGGCCAATTTCTCCGTCTGCTTTCGCCGCTTTCTTTCTGCCGTCACCATCAAAAGGCATCGAAGGTAAATATGTGTATATAGTTATGTGTGTGTGTATATAAGCCAATGGGCTAACAAACTAACCTACAAAGTAAACAAAAGCGTTACGCTACAAATGCAAATTTTTCGCACACACACATGCTTAAGAACTATAAACAACAACTCATTTAACTGACGCCATGCCCCCATAAAAAAAAACAAACACAAACAAAAAACAACAAAGCTCAAGACTGGAAATGGAAAAAGAAAAGGTGGAAATGGCACACAACAAAGCAAAACGCACGCTTCTAAAGCTATTTGTATAAAATTTTAATCGCATGCGATTTATTTGACTAGGCGCCAAAGTCGCACATCAACGCACCCATACACACGCCATCAGGGAAAATCCTTACACACACAGATACTCCTGGAAAAAATGTGTTTATTTTTCGCGAGATTATGCAAAATATTTATGAGCCATTCCAGGTTTTCTATTTATTAATTGACGATAGTAATTAAAAAGTGAAACATAGCTTTTCAAAGAAAATGCTTGGCAATTTTCTTTTGAGATTTCTATTTATTGTAAGTATTGTATTTTTCATATTTTTTAAACAATTGCGAGTTTGTTTTTAGACACACACCTGGCCCATTTTGTTTACCTTTCTTGGTAATAAGAAAAATATTTTAAATTGCTCACATTTATGGCCTTTGGACCAAGTGTCGACAGTTTGTTTATAATTACAAAATAAGTGAAAGCTTGCATATGTTCTGTTTTAGGAATAACTAGAATTTAACAATATTTACCCTTACAAAACAAAACAATGAACACTGAATTGTGTAATGGAGAAAATATAACAAATACTGCACAATAAATACCCAAAATTTAGATAATCTAAATTTTTAAATATCTAAATTAATCCTGAAATGTATAATTAGAATACAATTTAAATTCTTTTTCACAATTTATGTTGTATTTAAAAAGTCTCATGATAGAATTACTAATTTGCCATAATCATGCTTATTTATTGACATCATTTGATAGGCTAAATATAATTAAAATGCAAATATTATGGGGGAACTGTATAATGTTCAGCATTTATATACATATAAAAAAATTTAAATTTCCCCTAATGGACACGAAAACGTAGCGTTTAAATTTCCAATTATTCAGCCAAAATTTCCGTGCCATTTAATCCCCGACAAGCAGTTAAGGGGAAACAAACAAACAAAAGTTGTGTGCAACAATTGATAAGCTCCAAAAAGACTATCGTGCAGTTCGGCCATAAGCCATCAACCAAATGCCAATTCCATTTAGATGCACAAGCCGATTATAAAAGTCAACTTATGTTGGAATAGTTTTTTCACTCATTCGACATTGATATATCGTGATGGATTAAGTTAAATCAGTTGGTCCCTGAACGTACGATATACAAAATTATATCAAATTTTATCATTTATTCACTAGAGATCCTGATTCCTTATAATTAAAAGCTTTTTAGTATTAGATCTTCTTAGAATAATTATAATATAAGATCATATCATATTATATAATACCTTAAATAGGTTAAAGGGATAGTTAAAAGAAATATTGAATGGCAATTTTAGTTGTAGCACATTTCACAGATCCAATATCTTTTTTAAGTTTTTAAAAGCCCTCAACATTTTTTTTATTTATGCCCCTTTTTGAAGAGTGTTTTAAGACATTAAGCTTACCAAAACGAAATTCGCAACGATCTATTTATATAATCCTTGTTGCTATATGGCCAACTATTTTAAGTGCTTCCAGCTAGCAAAGGCTGCATCTGCACAATGAAATGAACTTGGTGGCGGGAAGCTGGATGAAAAAAACACTTAACGCGCAACTAAGCGACAATTGTTGTGTTGTGTGGCATTTAAAAATAGAATCAAGGTGCGCTCTAGTTTCATTCACCCATACAGAAACACATCCCCCTCCCCTACTCACACACACAGCTAAAGAGCCTACATAAAAGTGGCTGCTGTTGTTTTGCAAGTGGGCGAATGAGAGGAAAAAGGGGCGGGGCGGGCGCAGAAATGTATGCTACACGAAACTGCGAATAGAAAAGTTATAAATAAAATTCACACGAACGAACATTGAAAAAATAAACTCGGAAACTATTAAAATAAAATCCAAAGGTGATGATGATTGAAACAAATGGTAAATCTTATTTAAATAACCGATCAGTGATTTGTTAAATAAACAGTCATGACAGCCAATAAAATAAATAGAACCTTTGCAGTATTGGAATATGATATACGGTGGATATATTAAAATGAAATGAAAATACAAAGTAATGTATAAAAAATACGAACTTGTATTTACAGGATTTTAATCACTTTACATAATATTTTAATATTCTTTTTATCCGGACTTCCAATTCATTATATCCCAAAGAGAACGTTTGTTTTTTCACTGCATACTTTTGGACACCTTTATAAGTGATTACACATATATCCCTAGTGATTTCTGTCGTTCTCTTGATAAACGTAAACCATATTCTTTCCCAACATATATCTGGTCACTTTTGTTTACCTGTGAAAGGTCAGAACACCTTAACCTTGGTCAAAAGGAAACTTTAACGCAAACCTTAAGACACGCGAACTAATACAAAATGCTGCAAAATGATTCAACGCTTTTCGGCCATAAACTGCCTAATCACCTTTGGTGTCAGGTGCGTGGGCCATTCAATGACAGTGGTAATTACGGGCCCAATCGAATGATATAGTCTTGGCTTAAGTGACTAATGAGCAAGGAGCGTGACTATCGCCAAACGTTCTGTCTTCGTTGAATAATTAAGGTTGGTCAAATGAGCTGACTCTTGGTTAAGTAACCTACAGTTTGAAGTAACTTTGGTCAGTTTAAGAAGACAGAAAAATTATCAAAAGAAGTGGGTCTTTGTTATTTCAAAAAAATATTTATGTATATAAAGGTGCACAAAAGTATGCTGTACCACACTTTTCTGAATGGGTTCATAGGAATTCTTGATTTAAAATATACTGATGCACACTTCAGTCACACTTATAAGTTATTTATAAATACTACTAATAAAATCTATATTTTGTAACAGTTTCGTGTTGCAGTAACATTGCAAGCCATTTAAAAGCCTTTAAATATGTATCTAAAACCATTTTGTCCCTGCAAAGGCAACCGCAAGCCGTTCCCAGCATGAACATCAATTTGCCAGCATTTGGCGACCATTAATGGTCAACTTATCGTGGAAAAAATACTGTTCCATTTCCCATGGTTAAGGCCATAAAACATGTGTGTGCACACACACACAGATGCCACAGCTAAATGGGAAAACCAAACGTTTAACTTTCGAGCAGCAACAAACTTGAAATTTATATAGCCAACCACCAGATGTGTCTATAAAACTTACACATTCTGATCCATCCCATATATGAGCATACATTTTGCGTAGGTTTTTCTTTTTTTTTCTCTTATATTTTTATCGCCAGCTGATAAGAGCAAAGTTTGTCCGAAAGTTGGCGCCTGCAGCCGTAACACGCATACGCCATGTGTTACAAACGTCAGAAAAGAAATCAGAAAAAGAAAAACGAAACATGTAAAGAAAAAAGAAACGAGATGAGAGTACCCACAATTTCAGAAAAGTTAAATGTCTTTGCTGCCGAGGATTTTGGTAACATTTTTTAATTGCCCCATGGGGGAATGGGCGGAAATCCACTTTTACAAGCGAACATATGTTGGCAGCAAGCAATTAACAAACCAAGTCCAAGCACAAAAAAATGTGTAAAGTTGAAAAATCCCAACTATAATATACCCCGCACTCATTTTTTTTAAGAGTCATTTGCGTACCTTTGAAATTTTTGTTTGTTTGTTGGTTCTATAAAGAACAACTTAAAATATTTTAGCCTTGAAAACACCTATAAAACATTGCATACTTTTGGAAACCTTCAAAATTGTTTTTAAAACCTTAGTAGTATTTGTGAAAATCATAAGTCATTCGGATTTCATATTCATTTATAGCAACGCATAAAAGTATGCAATAAAAAGAATTCATACGACTGCCTGGTTTGAAATAAAGTATTGCATACTTTTAGACACCTTAAGAATTAATTTAAAAGTCAGGATGATTTCTGCGACATCTCCGCATACCCTAGTTTTCTAGGAGGACCGGAATTGAAAATGTGGCCACATCCATGTTCAGCCACCCACGCAGGCCACTTACCAGCATTAATTACTATGTCGGGCCTGCCAAGTCAGCAACGAGCCACCAAAAAGTTGAAGGACCAACAAGAAAAAAATATTGCATACTTTTCCGAATTTTTCCCCCCAATTTGGCCGTTTTCCACGCTTTTCTCGCTCTCTCACTTTTCTGACAAGTTGTATGAGTTGCGAGAGTTGAATGTTTCTTTTTATTGCGATTGCCATCGCTTTTGTTGTTATTGTGCGGCCCTTGGTTTTTGTTTTTGGCTAAATTTTTTATTATTTGGTCTGTTTATTGTTCTTGTAGATTTCCATGTTCATTGTGAACATAAAAATAAGGCAAGCCAAAACAAATGTTGGGCAAAAACCAGAAAAAAGTTCGCTTTGCAGTTGATTTTTCGCAGAACAGAATAAAGTTGAGAAAAACAAATTCCGAAATATGTAATTGGTTTCTGAGTGTGGGAAAAACATATAAATAGTTTGAAAGCCGTAAAATTAGCATTTTTGTAAGGGTATATACGAAGGGACTACATTAAATTTGTAAACTAATAATGTAATTCAAACTTATATTCAAGAAGATTTATATAGTAAATCTGACAGAAATCACATAAGCAGACAAATTATACCAACAAGCAATTATATCTTCTGAGCCAATTTTACTTGTTTCGATTTTTTTCCTTTTCCTTGGCGGAAATATATTAAGTCAGCTCATAAATTAAATCAATTCAAGCAAAAAAATTGCTGTCCAGTCAAGTTTTGTGGCTCAAACTCCCACATTTCTGGGCATATTTATAGCTTGGCCAGAACCCCGCTAAGCTTTTGCCTTTTTGGCCAAGAAAAGGGCACCGAATGAATTGGA